TCCCGCTACATACACTCAAAAACAGCGTATCGGCCGAAGTTGCAGCATCACGGCCCATTATAACAACGTAACGGGCCGTTACGCTGGAGAGAACCCTGAATTATGCTATGAAATTGCCAACCCTACAAGTTGATGGGCTTGACCATTTAGGTTTGTTGTTAGGTTAGTTTTGTTAGGTTTGGGGGGGTATTGACGAATGCTGCTAACTGTTAGCGGCGAATACACTAGCAAATAGCAGCTTTAGCAATGAAGACAGCTGTAGAGAAACCGAACCGGCGCTTCTTGTTAAATCTTTTCATGCTACATACACTTGAAAACAGCGCAACGGCCCATTATAACAACGTAATAACGCTTGTGAGAACCCTGAATAATGCTATGAAATGACCAACCCTACAAGTTGACGGGATTGGCCATTTAGGTTTGTTACATATGAAGCTGCTGCTGTCTAAATCAGCGCTTTTGGCACTGTCTATGGTCCACTGAAGCCTCATGGTCTGTCATCATGATATGTCTTCTTAGATATAAAAAGAAACCATATTGACATGCTCAGGTCAAAAGAAAAAGTTTGACTCAAATGTTTTAAGTGCTCATGCTGCTAACTGTTAGCAGCGAAGGCGACGGTAGAGAAACTGCATCGGCGCTGCTTGTTAAATATTTTTACACTACATACACTCAAACAGCGTATCGGCCCTTTATAACAACGTAACAACGCTTGCGAGAACCCTGAATAATGCTGTGAATTTGCCAACCCTACAAGTTGGCGGGATTGACCATTTAGGTTTGCTACACATGAAGCTGCGGCTGTCTACATCAGCGCTTTTGAGACTGTCTATGGTCCACTGAAGCTTCAAGGTCTGTCTTCATGATATGTCTTCATATAAAAGGAAACCATATTGACATGCTAAGGTAAAAAAAAAAACACTCAACAAACGTTTTAAGTTGTCGCCCAAATCTCAGGAGACGTTACATAAACAGAGATTACAATTTAAAGCGGCGTTTCGACCCCCACTGGAGTTAATTTCTCCCCACTTGACTTGAATGAACAGCATTCACCGGCGTTCCTATGTGCCTACTTAAACGGTTGTTTCATCAAGTTATGGAATATGAACCTGTTATTGCCCAGAAAATTGACCTTGATTCTAATCAGCACCTCTGCACGTCAGGTTGAATGCAATCAAATTGAATTGCAAAGTGACGATTCGCGCTCTTCACACTTCTTATTTGACTGATTAGTCACACGCATTGTGTGAAGTTGGTAGACAACAGCATCACGGATTGGCTTTTAACAGATTATTGAATATGTATAATTTATCCACCAGCTGCTTCCTTTTTAAATTAAGACAGTTCAATATATTTTTGTGATAAGTAATTTATTATTATGATGATTATTTTTTAATTATTCAGGAGAATTCAGGAACAATATTTACAGAGGAAAACAGAAAAAGCACAACACATGTATTGTAGACACTGTTTTCTTTAACTGTGTCTGACTTGTGTGTGTGTTTCTGATTGTGGTCCTCTGGGTTTATTCAGTTACTGTACACAGCAAAGCACCCATAGCAAATTGTTTGCAGGTTCTTCGTGGTCTCTGCTGCCTTGACATAAATGTAAAATACAGTGTCAGTGTTGCTTTGACCCTGAAAACCTGATGTCTAAGGTTTTATCATGATAACAGCCTGCAGCTCATCTCAGTGCCACTCTGGGCCCTTATCTTCCTTCTACAAGGAATTAGTCCTTATCTTTGACCGGACATATGTCAGAAAATGTGGCCTTTTTTAAGATTTGACACTCCCCGGCAATGTCTCTAAATATAATTCAACGTAAAAATCTATGTAAAGCGGGAAGCTTTATCCTCTGGGTAACGTGAATGTGGTCAGCCAGTTTAGCGTCGGTCTGCCCATGAAGTTTTGATTTTGCTTCTGTCCCAGTTTGGTAGTTTGATCGTGACATTTCATAAAAAACATGAAGTCAGACCCCTGATGAAACCTTTTATGGAGCGTGTCCATGAGGTTTACGACAAAAGGAGTCACTGCATATACATAAAACAGTATCAAGGGTTTCAATCCTTTTAAGTTAGATTCCTAATAAACACATTTTAGTAGCCATGTGTTTTTATTTTTACTTGCGGCGTAATGCTGCCTTTATGCAGATAAAGAATTGATTGTGTCTGTTAGTGTCATCGTCCACCAGGCCGGCATCATTCCTGTCTTTGAGGTTTTGTGTAAAAGCAAAAATGACTGCTTTATTTTTGCAGTTGTGTCATAAACTCTAACAAGAAGCTACCAAGAATTTTAAAAGAAAAACAGAGATGCTTGCTGGAGAAATTCAGTTTGTGTGCAGGTGTTGTTGTGTGTAAATTACCAGTTAAACTAGTGTGTTGTTTCGTTCTCTTTCAGTCTCGTTGTAAAGAACTTGTAATATCAAATGCTGTGACAGACACTTCCATCAGTCAGAATTATTGGAGCTGATCACAATCATTTTTTCTAATCGATGCCCTTTTCTATTCACCTGAATGAAAACAGCTGGATTTCCTCGTTTTCATCTCCTTCTTTTTCTACGCGTTAATGGCACCAACTGTTTATCTCAAGGGCTTAAATTCTAATATTCAAACAACTGCATTTTGATCAGGCGTCTGTTGACAATAACAAGTCACCAGCACTGCTGTGGTCACATTTTGGTTTTCTAAGGGAACCCTGTAACTTGGAGAAGGTGATTTGATTTGCGGTGAAAACTGATAGAAGCACAAAATGAACAGAAAAAGGACAATTGAATCATTAATCACCCTTTTTTTTTTGTATGGCAATTAATTTTCAACTTAAATTTCATGACCCTGACAACCCGAGCTAATGTAGAAAATGGTTTACAAGGAGGATTAATTTACTGAAAGACTGCTTGTGAGTTTATTTTAATCATCGTCAAAAACCTGTTAAACACGAGGTTCTTCATTTTATTGATCACTTAACCAGCCACAGTAATATAAAGCGACATTGTTGGGTCCAACTGTAGGAGAACAACCCTGTCTTTATCTCAAATCAAATGTGTGTGGTCTTTATGATAAAAATATATCTGTGTTTGGAACATCACTAAATATCCAAGTCAGCTCGTGTGATAAGAATTCTTTTAGTACTAAAAAATGATCTATGGATGGACATTTGTTTAGGTTTTTCAGCCAATCAGAACTAAATCTATCAATCCATACATACAGTCGTGACTCGATAATCCGACACTAAATGTAAAACCTTCTTTTATGTCGGATAGCAAGGCTGTCGGATTGTCAAGACGGAGGTTGAGATACGAGGAGGGCTTGATGCTTGAAGGCTCATTTTTGTTAATATTTATTGTTTATAGTTGTTATAATAACTAGTGTATTGTTAGAACACTACGCATCGCTGGATTTCACGCCTAGTTGACCGGTGTGCTTGTGCACATTCACTTCCAACCCGGTGGAGCGCTCCGATGGGGTGGAAATGGCCGGAACGAACAGGCAGCTGATGCCAGTTTAGTTAGTGGTCACAGTTCTGTTTCCACCATCGGTATCGGCGGCGGTGGCGGGGGAGTGGCGGATACGCTCCACCACCACTGTCCGTGTTTACTTCCACAACCACTGAGCACGCTCGCTGCGTGTGACGTCGTCGTGTCCTCTTCTGTGCATGCGACACACTTTTGGGTTCGTTTTTCCTAAAAACCTGTCAGATAGCAAGGTTTTCAGATTGTTAAGGGTCAGATTATCAAGTCACAACTGTATTATTTCTCTTTTTTTTTTTCTTTTTTGTTTTTTGATCCCGATCCTGTGTTTTAAGTTTAACTGGATTCAGATGACTTCTTAAAAAATCCTAATGCCTCTCTGAGTTCGTAGCCTTCATGTCGCTCCGTCGGCCGACTCCTGAGCTGCTCCTTCATCTTGAATCTTTTGCACCGTCTGTACTTTCTCCGTGTTTCTGTCTCCACTCTTGCACACCGAGCCTCTCGCTGTGTCTTCCCTCTCATCGTGCCGTCATTCACTCCTTTGTTTTAAAACCCTGACAAGCGCTGAGTCGCATTACAGCGGTTGTTCTGAAATTTTAGGTTATGAAGTGTGAAATTAACTTCAAGAGAATTCAACCTACAAAGCAGACGGAGTGATTGGTTAAAACAACGTTATGTAAAACATATCCTCAGGCCCACTGAGAGGCTCTTAACTAACGACTTACAGCGTGGTCTTTGATTTGACAAGGTTTTGATTGAGATGCTATATTTCTTTCCACTGAACTCTTGATTCCCGCTCTGAGTCTGCCCCATTAAAGCCGTGTTTATAGTCTGCCTTCCAGCTCCAGCCTGAGGGGTGCATTTGTTTTAACTCCTGCGCAGCGTGCGTGGGTGGCGGGTTGACACAATGAGCGATCCTAGAATTTGAAGAAGGAACTCAGAGAGGGAGCTTAGTTTGAGCGCATTACCGGGTTTAAAGTCTGCATGAGCGCGCGCCGCCTGAACGCCCATTCAGATAAACGTGGAGCTGTGTGTTCATGGATCCAGAGTGTGATTAAGCATCTCTGTGCTCAGGCTGCAGAGTGGGGATGTGTTCAGTACTTCTCTTTTTATAACATGTTAATTATTTTTGTCTAACAAATTGCACTAATCAGCACTGCAAAAAAATAAAAAATAAATCTGTAAAACTAAAAAATGTTGGAAATAATGTGAAATATCAGTAAAATTGTGATATTTTTGGCAGATTTAAATACAGTAAAGCAGTACTTTTATGATCAAATGTTGTAAAATAACTTTGTTTTTCTTTTTTTAATTATTAATTGTGAAAATACAGATTTTTAAAGTGGACATTTTTGGGGGTTTTAGCAGTTAACATGTAAAAAAAAATGCAATTTAACTCGAATTTCATTAGTTATCAGATTAGATTAGATTCAGCTTTATTGTCATTGCATAGAGGACAAGTACTAAGACAACGAAATGCAGTTTAGCATTCAATCAGAAGTACAAAAGCAGCAGTGAAGTGCATTATTTACAGTATGATATGCACGGTATGTTACAGTATAAACACCAGTCACATGATAGACAGTGCTATGAACACATTAGTATATGAATGTATAGATATATGGACACAATATGAAATTATCTAAACGTACAGGCAGAAATAAGTACTATTGTGAGCAGTATCAATAGTATTGATCGGTAATTATTATTAATTATTTAATTAAAAACAGGGAAATTCTGTAAAATAACAGTAAATGTTTAACACAATACATTTAAAATTAGTTTTACGATGTTCGTTTTTACAGTGCAGAGTGTTTCTAAATTTCTAAAAACATCATTGCATTGAGAATGAATGAACTAAAACAAGAGGTGTATATGACTTGTTTTCAGTCATTAAAACACCGTCTAATCACCTGCTCCTCTGTGTGCTGCCTCCAGGTGGAGCGGATCGTGGACAAGAGGCGGAACAAGAAGGGGAAGTGGGAGTACCTGATCAGGTGGAAAGGCTATGGGAGTAAGGAGGACACCTGGGAGCCGGAGCATCACCTACTGCACTGTGAGGAGTTCATCGACCAGTTCAACAGCTTGAGACTGCACTCACACAAGCGGCCCAAAGTCCCCAAAAGCCGCGGGGAGCCCCTCATCGCCGGACACCCCTCTGCCACAGAAAGCTCCAGAGCTCGGTCCGAGGCCCGCAAGAAGAAAAGGGCGTGCGGCCCGGCTGTTGGAGTTAGAGTGGGAGCTGTTCTTGGGCTCGGCGGGGGTTCGGGACCCACTCAGAAGCAGAGGAAAGTGGGTGTAGGACCGGGGAAACATGCTTTAGGGGACAGAATGAGCAAAGCCATGACGTACAAGGCTCCCCCACCAGGTGGGCCTCACTTTGTTCCTCCACTGAGGGTTCCTCATAATGGACTCCAGAACGGAGAGATGGATCCTCTTGTGTACAGGACAGCAGCGAGGTCACACAGACTGCCCTCCGACAGAGCGGAGGGAGAACTCGGACACCCGGATACCACTGGACCGCAGTTTACAGCTGAGCTAGGTAAGATGTGCCGCATGTCAGCATGGTGGCATATAGCGCTGGATATTTAAAGAATGGACAGATGACAGTGTTTATAAATGAAAAACAAGACTGGTTTGTAGCATATTGGGGAAAATGGGTACATAAAAATTAAAAAGCCCAATTTAATTTTGAGTTTGAAAATTTAAAGATAATGTAATGGTCGCTCCCGAATGTTCTGAAAGATGTGCGCGATTTATTTTATTTTATTTTAGTTTAGTTTAGTTTAGTTTAGTTTAGTTTATTATGGAAAATAGTTTTTTTGTTTTGTTTTGTTTTGTTTTTTAAAAGAACAATGGTAATATTGTGCACATGTGAATTGTACCCATCACTAAAAATTGTTAAAACTGATAAAGCATTTTTTTTTTAAAAGAACTAGGTAAGATGTTTAGAAATATAAATGAAATACCAAAAACAAAACCACGATCAGGTGATACAGCACATTATAAAGTGATGGTTAACAAAATGGAAAGTGAATGGAAAAACAACCACCCTTGGAGAATCAGCAGTTATTTTCATTTGATATATTCATCATACACCAACAAATTTAAAATTCTGCCATAATACAGGTTAAATCAAAACTCTTGTTCTTTAGTAACAAAAGTAAGAAAACCATATTCAAAATCACTCTGAGACAAATGCAAAAGACTATAACTGAGCTTTGGAAGTTTACTCCATGTGTTTCTATGTACAGTCGTCCTCGAATGTATTCATCTCCTTCCATTAAAGAAAAGGCAAAATTCCCAACAGTCACTCAAATAACTAGAAACTGAAAAAAGTAATAATAAATAAAAATTTGCTAAATTGTAATTTAGTGAAATCAGACATTGCTTTTGAATTGTGGTTGAAAAGAATAATTAAAAAAAAAACAAAATCTGTCAAATTAGAGCACTTTGCTGATGAGCAGTGAAATCTAAACACCTGTCAACAGGTGCAGAAGTCTGATGGAGAGTTTACGGCTCCCATCGTGCTTGTTTTGTTTTTTGTTTTTTGTTTTTTTTTTTAATATATATTTCTGTTGAACCACAATTCAAAAGCAATGACGTGATTTTCACTAAATTTTTATTTATTATTACTTTTGTCAGTTTCATCTTATTCCACCTGTGTTTTTTTACATCTTTAGTGGGAGGATATGAATACATTTAAGGACGACTGTATATAAAAAAACAAATCTAATATTTTAAAATCTTTACACCATCCCTCATAAGTGCCTTTTGCAGGTTTAAAAAGTTGTGCTGAACACTGATGGCTGAAAACAACAATTACCTTGTTAAATACATAATCTGTTGCGTGTTCATGGTATATTTTTCCATGATGAGTGTTTCCTATTAGATGACAGATTGCATTGCTTCTAATTATAAATACTGTATGCTTTAGCAGGCACACATTTACACTGTGGAGGTCTGCGGTGCCACACAGCTCGTAAAAAGCTCCCGCTGCGGTTCTTTACTGCAGGAACAGCTGATAACACCTTTGAATTTTACTCCTGGGTCACAGTCCAGGGCCTGAACCACCGTGGTTAATCATTACTTGTGTTTTCAAAAAAGTCATCTTGACGTGTTAAACAGAAAGTCCGTATCAGAATAGAAGTCTCCTTTTTTCAATATTTGAATAACAGCACATACATACAGTGTAAATGGTAGAATTAATATAGAGGTTGTCCTTTTTTTTTTCCTGGCTCTAACACCGCTTACTGGAATGTTTTTGTCCTCTGGTGCAGCTGTTGGAAAATTTTACTGTGGAGATACTTTAGAATATGCAGAAAGTGTGTTATTGCACATGTGCATTGTGTGCTTGCTCAGGTCTGGCTTACGATTGGCTTTCATGTCCCAGCACCATGAGATGGGATGTTAGATGGTTGTGTGACTTGGTAGACGTGAACATGGTAACTCAAGAATTAAACGTACAGACGTGACTCGATAATCCGACACTAAATGTAAAACCTTCTTTTATGTCGGATAGCAAGGCTGTCGGATTGTCAAGACGGAGGTCGAGATACAAGGAGGGCTTGATGCTGGAAGGCTCATTTGTTGTATTTGTTGTTTGTAGTTGTTATAATAACTAGTGTATTGTTAGAACATGACGCATCACTGGATTTCACACCTAACTGAGCGGTGCGCTTGTGCACGGACCCATCAGTTGACATCAAAGGTAAATACGTTCAGACAGCAGGCTGAAGTGACCCAAATCCGACCTGTATCTAATCTTTTCATGACAGTCTGAACAACACCAATAAATGATGAATATACAAATATTCGACGAGGTCGGGGAGACACTTCTACCCTGGGGGAGCGCTCTGACGGGGTGGAAGTGTCCAGAACGCACAGGCAGTACTTGGCTGCTGATGCTAGTTTAGTTAACGGTCACACTTCTGTTTCCACCATCAGCGCCGGCTACGCTCCACCGTTACCATCCATGTTTACTTTGGCAACTCTGAGCACGCTCGCTGTGTGACGTCGTCGTGTCCTCTTCTGCTTATGCAGGACAATTTTGGGTCGTATGAAGTTCACACAGCAGATCACATACAAGTCACACTTAACTGGAAATGTGAAGGAACTCACAAAAAAAATCCTCATTGAGCATTAAGTCCTGCAGTCTGAACGTAGCCAATCTGTCAGATTGTTCAGTCACACATCAGTTATCCTTATTTGTGACATAAAATGTCATGTTGGAGTCAGAACCCAAGGCTGTCGTTATGTTAAGACTGTTTTTAGTGGGTTCCATTCGTTTTTCTAAAAACCTGTCGGATAGCAAAGTTTTTGGATTGTTAAGGTTCGGATTGTCGAGTCACGATTGTAGTAGAATCTTAACGCTTACAATAGTGGTACTCCATCTGCAGTCGATGATCTGCTTAGATTTTAGCGGGCATTGCTGCATACATTTGCATATCAATAAGGTAAAACCACATTCACATCATTTTGCTGCAGTAACAGCACCAGTCCAGTCCAGCAATGTAAAAGTAATAATCAAGAAGAAGTGAAAGTCCTGCATTGGATTCCAGATGAAGTGAAAACACATATAGATATCAGCAGCAAAGTGTAGTTGTTAAAGTAAAAGTACTGGTTTGATCCCTCTGACTGATAGATTATTACATTTAAGATCATCAGATTAATAGAAGCGTCAGTGAGCCAGCAGGATGTCAGCGTTGGAGCCAGTTTGAACTACTTTATATACAGGTTCATACACCAGATAAATCTGAGGCTTCCTGAGATGATTAATGGAAGAGGAAAGAAGAAAGAGGGAGGTTTAGATCCACTAATCTGTTTTTAGTTTTGGGACTTGTTCTCTAATCTTGTTGGAGAAGTTTAGAGGGAAAAATCACTATTTGTTGGAGCGTTTAGCAACTCATAGACATCTGAAATGTGACCCTGACTAGACACTGCTTTGTAAAAACAACCGGGAACCACCAGAACAATCCTTAACAGTATGTTGTATTTTAAAAGCTTGAACTCACAGCAGGATCTGAGGTAATCCAAGTGCCTGTTGTTATCTCATTTGGTAGTAATTTCATAGTCATGTAGCTCAGTTGGTTGCACAGTTGTAGCTCTCGTACTTTTGCCCGTCGTCACCTCGTTGTTGGCTCACCCAAAGGTGAAGTTAAAAGTAGGGCTTGCATGTAAAAGTTTGGAATTGTTTTTTTGGCAGGACAGTAGAGAGGGAGACAGGAAAGTTGGGCGGAGAATGTGGTGAAGGACCTGCAGTAAATGGCCATGTGCTGGATTCGAACCCATGACCGCTGCGTCGGGGACTATAGCCCCAGTACATGAGTCGCCAGCTCAACCAGTTGAGCTATAATTCTGTTTAACTGACTTTCCTTGAACATCCCTGTGTGGTTTGCTCATATTACACCTTAAACAAAGTAAAACCTGCTGAAAAATATAAAAGAAAGTTCCCGTAATTTCAGAATAATATTGCAAAAGCCATTAATTTAGTTGTTTGTTTGAAATGCAACTGTACTCACCAATCGCACCTTTGAGCTCAATCTGATCTGCACTTTTTCTAAAGCAAGCCTTAGCTGTTAGATAGAAATAGATCATTACCGGCCCAGTGTGGAACAACATCTCATTTAGCTCAGTTAAGCTTGAATCTTGAGCTTGATGCTGGACATCATGTTAGCTTGCAACCCTTAACTGTCCGACATCTTGAACCAGTGTCATGAAGCGCTGTCAGTGGCTCTGCATGCCGATAAACAACACATTCTCCGTATCTCAACAGTAAATCATTTTCGCTGTCTCAGCCTCCTGTTCCTCCGTCGCTTTAAAGCCGCGAACAACCGGCAGCACAATGGTCCAGTGGTTAGCACTGTCAGCTCACAACAAGAATGTTCTGGCTTTGAACCCGTGTGTGCAGTTTGCATGTTTTCCCGCTGCCTTCTCCAGTTGTTCCGGCTTCCTCCCACATTGTAGGTTAATCAGTGATTTGAAATTGGCCGTGAGCGTGCGCGATTGTCTGTCTCTTTGTGTTTGGCTGAACTACTGACCTGTCCGGTGTCAGCTCCACGACCCACCGTAGGAAAAAGTGGCAGCAGCTGATGGATGGATTACGAGTGGAAATCCCACCTTAGAGGGCTCATTTTGCGTTGTGTTTGTTAGAAGAAATAACCCCCTGTCTATTATTCCTGACTCTATTTGAATTGTGTGCTTGGTGTTAGAAATCTTGGATGGCTTTTCATATCTTCAGCCCATAAGTACCTGAATTAGTTTGTATAATACCACAGAGAATGTCACACCAGTCTTTTCGTTTACCACCTCTAATTCTACTAGTGACCAACTCCTGTTTCCACGTCTTCACTGAATTATTCATCTAAAAATCACTCAAGCTTTAACCACACACTGAGGCTGTGTTTGAGGGCTTTTATGTGGTTTTAAAGTCTCCGCTGCAGGGAAAATGAGTCGAATTTTTTATTTTTTATTTATTTTCAACGGCGTCATTGTTTGTTTTAAGGAGCCAGATTTTGTCTTCCTAATTCCAACATTCACACCATTGTTTGTGGTGAGAAAACTGCACTTGTGTGCCTCAGTGATGGAAGACTTGGTTATTGTTTGCTACCACGGCATGGCTACCTGCTCTTAAAAAAGGAGCTTAACGTCTTTTATCCATTCACCTGCTCAAAGTCCACACCTGGATACGCAACTTATGGTCAATCAAAAATAGCTTGTTGGCCCATTTGATGCCCCTATAGGTCAAATATCTGTTGTCAGAAAAGGCCTGAAAATAGTTTTTTGGCAACTTTTCATACATGAAACTTGACGTAGCGACAGAATTCAGCCCTATGTGCTATTTTCAAAGCTGAATTAAAAATGCAATCAGGGTGAAATTCACTGAATCCCTCTGTGACAGTTCCGATATCATACAGAGACTTCCAGCTGTAGTGATCTCGACGAAATCGTGGAAAGCAGCCGACGGATACAAAATAATTCAAATCATCGCTAGACATACAAACGTTAAACTCCATTCAAAGGTCCTTCCATTAGGGGAGGTCTTTGTTGTGCAAGAAACACATGTTTTTCTTAATAAATTCAGATGTTCTCTTTATATCTTGAGTTGCATCATTTTTGTGCTGCAGTCACATCACAAAAGCAGATCTCTAATAACATCGAGCTTTAAATAATACACCGAGAAATTGGTGTCTTTTCTATAAGACAGAAAAAGAAGAGAAAGAAGAGAAGAAAAGGCACATTTCAGTAACAGTTTTAGGCTCAGTTTAAAGTTACTCTGATAGCTGGAGTAACTTTGGTGGATTTCATCGACACAACATGCCGGTGACACTGTGGTACGGAAGGAGAGCCGAAGGCAGCAGACGATCATGGAGACAGTAAACACCAGACGTAGAGGCTGTTGGACACGTTTTATGTAACGTCAACCAAGACCCGACTGAAATATATGCAATTTTTGAAGGTGATGTTTTTGTAAGGAAGGTGTTTTTGTTCTGAGTTTTATCAGCAGGTGTCTAAAATACAAGTCCTGGTGGACAGACTGACCTGTTCTGTCACCCCTCGTCTGTGTCAGGCTCCCCCCTCGCCAACGGAAAGATGCATCTGCACAGCTCAGTAAAGCGAAAGCTGGCCGAGGAGAAAGGCTACGTGTTTGACAAGCGGCTCAGGTACAACGTGCGACAGAACGAGAGCAACTGTCGATTCCGGGACATTGTGGTCAGGAAGGAGGAGGGCTTCACGCATGTCCTGCTGTCCAGCCAGACGACAGACAACAACGCTCTGACACCAGAGGTGAGACATACGCACACCTGCGCGTTGCACTGCTTACACACACAACTTCCCATTTATGCACGTCCACTCGGCCCCTTAAGATTCAAGATGAGCTTTATTTGTCACATACACATTTATACAATGTGCAGTGAAGTGCACTTTGTACCAGCGTCCAATTTCAATAAAAGAAAAATAAATAAAAAATAAGTGTTAAAGAAGTGTATATGTACTTTAAGTATACATACACATAAATAGTCAAATACATAAAGCAAATGGAACAATGTTATGGTACTTAAGGTGCATATGTAGAAGGTGTCCGTGTATATTGGACAGTCCGGTTTTAAAGCTCAGAGTTGAGCAAACGGACGGCCTGCGGGAAGAAACTCTTCCTCATTCTTTCAGTTGCAGTCTTTAGGCAACAATAGCGTCGGCCTGACGGCAGCAGGGAGAAAAGAGAGTTTCCTGGATGGCTAGGCTGCTTCAGGATCTTCACAGTCCTTGACCTGCATCGTTGGGTGTAGATGTCCTGCAGGTTGGGGAGGGTGGATCTGATAGTCCGCTCAGCTGAACGGACCACCCTCCTCAGGACCAAGAAGTCCTGCTTGGTGCAGCTGCCCATCCAGGTGGTGATGCTCACACACAGGATGCTCTCAGTGGTGCAGGTGTAAAAGTTTCTGAGCACTGTGAGCAGGAGCTTGAAGTCTCTCAGGCGTCTGAGGTAGAAGAGATGCTGTCCAGCCTCCTTCACAGTGGACTTTATGTGAAGTGACCAAGACAGGTCCTGTGTGGTCGTCACACCTCGATATTTAAAGCCGTCTGTGTCTCATTGATATGTAACAATGCATCACGACATATAATTAATTAAGCTTTGATTAAATCTCAGTTGCCATGGTGCTCTGTTTGGGAAAAATAAATTCTAAAAGTTTCCCCAGTAACTGCTGTAGAGATGCCCTGGAGCTACGCACTAACTCCCCAACTGCTCCAGGGGAGCTTTTCAAGAGGCAGCTTCAGAAAACTGTGGTTTTATTTGACAGCTGCCAGGTGTGAAAATGTTAGCTGCACGAATCTAACAGGGCAGCGCTAAAACAAAAACGACAAGATTCCCTCAAAACCGTCTCCTGCCTCTACAAATGTAGTAATTGGGAGTACATATCATCCAGTGTTATGCCATCTGTTGTTATTGCAGCAAAATGTTAGTTGAACTAGTGAGGAAATTATGCTGCAAGTTCATGGAGGAGAACATTATGTAATTATTCTTCAAGGGAAGTGGAGACCCTGGAGATGATATCCAATGATTTCCACTGCTCGCTGTGTATGAATAACACTCCCACTGCTGCTAGAGATGGCAGTGTTTGGAAGAACTAGTTTTGTTGATGTGAGGGCTCGATGATCTAAAATGCTGTAATTCTTACAATATGTAGCTGTCAAGATGTGTTATGTGTCATTACATTTGATCACAGGAGCATTCATGAGATATTCAGCATGCTAAAGGCAAACTCTGCAATTATATCATCACATAAATATATTATTATTATTATTACGCAGCTTCTTTAATGCAAAATAAGTTTTTCAGAATAACTGAATTAATTTTGCTGTTGCAATCACAGAATTTGCTTGGTGAGATTGAGGCATAAAACAACGAAAAGTTTTCATTAAATTAATAATAAATTGCTCACATTAAATAGGTTGACACTATTTTTAGCAGCACTTTTGATTAGTGTCTGATGATACACCAGCTGAGTCTTATCTACAGGCATTTAGGCTGCGCAATCTGTGTCACGCTGCGTTCGCCGGCTTTTGCCGTGTTTTGTCACAGTCTCCTCAGAAATTTTGTTGATCCCCTGCAAACACCGTTGTCAGTCAAATTCCCTCCATAAAATAAACACCTAGAGGCAGAGCGTCCTCAATGCACAAGTCGCACAGATTTAAAATGTTCACGTACAGGGATGGACAAACTAATAAAGTCAGTAATGTGTTGTAATCATTAGTCATTCAACCCAGAGACGTTTCCAAAAATGAATGAAAGACTTGAGCCGGGGCGGTTCATGTGCATCTGCAGTCCTGGTTGCCATTTAGTGGCTCTCTGCTCTGCAGCTTTTGTGAATCGTGATGATTCACTCGATGGCCTGGCTGCCTGCAGGACTTTCCCAGCCTGTGATTGGCTGCTCATTTCCACACTCCAATCAACGCCAAGCTGGTCCATTTCAATTTCCCCTGGACGCATTCAGTCACTTTCTTTTCCCAACTGCACACCAGCAGAAGTTGTTGGTGTGCTGAGAGACACACATTTATTTAGTTTTTTGGAATCAGCCACACTTTTAAAATCTGAAAATTGAAATCCACAATTAGCACAACTCACTAACTGATTTTCACCCTGTGCAAATAAAACTGGACATTTCAATCTGATCTATATAAACAGCGTATGATTTAAATCATTAAAACCTACTGCTGCTGTGTAGTTTTTAATGTCACATTTTTAACAGATTCCTTAGAGGTCCGTGTACGTACGTAACGTTGGGTGAGCAACATATAATGGCATGTATCACAACTATCCACCTCTGGCTCATAACTCTAAGCAAACAGGATTTTCCTCCTCTCAGATTGTCTCAGATCCTCCACAGAGGGCGGTTCTGGCTTTGATACAGCGTCGTGAGCACGGCAGCCTGTACTTCACAGGCGCTGAAGTGGCCTAAACTGTGTGTGCACATGTGTGTGTACTTTCATGTGTGACAGTAAGCCCGTAAGCTGTGGGCTTATCAAACAGCTCGGATAGCTCCTTCTCTGTCTCTCCGTCTTTGAAGCTACAGGAACAAGAGAGTCGACGGATGTGCTCACTTGAATGGCTGCAGCTGAGAAAATCTTGAAAAATATCCCAGTACATTTTTTTTCCTCCAAACACCCGATGCTCGCTTTGAGCAAGAAATTCCCCCAAGCTTTTAACTGGTACTGTTTCTGCCACCTTTCTGGCCTAACGTACTGTAGCTTTCCCGTCCTGTGCTATACTGTTTTTTAAACCCAGCCCTGTTATATCATGTTTATTTTCTTATATCATCCATACACTGAGGATCTTGAAAACTAAAACAAGTGAGTGAACAAAGAATATGCATTCTTCTATGGAGAATGAGGTAAATCTAATCTAGATCTTGAATTTCCAGAGTAAGACGAGCTATTTCTACTTTGATCAATCTAAATTTGTCCCACAGGAAAGAGACATGTCAAAAAAAATAAGTGTCATCTGGAAACAGGAAATGTTTCTGACTGAAATGGAATCTATCAGACAGACCAATTACAGTAGTTGTGGGCGGAGCTACGGGAACAATACTTCTTTCCTCAACATCATGACGGTGGAATTGTTTGCATGCAGTGGGACGAGATCTGGTGATTAAAATGGATAATTCAGCAACAACAAAACTCGCCGGGCCGCCTCACTGCACGATCCACAATCTCTGCAACATTTTCAGTATAGCAGGCTATATGGTAGGTTGTTGTTGTAAGAAAGAAAGGGGAAAAAAAACGGTAGAAGGGTTGGAGAATAAATTGATCGGCCAATGGCAGGCTAATACCCCCATCCTAACTCCAGTGAGTCACACTACAAACACTTAGACATCACCAGGCGTCTGGTGCAGCGTCACTGCTGATGCCCTCCCATACCATCAGTGCAGACATCTCCAGGTCTTGGTTATCGTGGCGTCTCTCTGCCTTTGCTTGAGTTGCTGGAATGCAGTTTAATCAGAATGAGATCAGGTGACAGACTTGAACAGGAAGGACACTCCAGCCGTTTCCTCTCCAAGAGCTCTTTGGTTGCTTTGGCAGTTGCCAAGATTCTGGTGAGCATTCTTGACCTCCTGTGCAGTCAAAAGGGGATTTTCTTCCCCGTGTAAAGGACTTTTCGGTCATTTACAAGATTTGTCCAGGTCGTTTGCACTGTTCTAATTTTCCTGTACACGACACACCCAAGAAACATGTAGTCGCCAAGTGTCCAATTACTTTTGGACAGTTGGCCACAGTGTGATAAAATGGCTGTTATTTCAATATTGACGTAAACCCACTCAAATTAATGCAGTGACGGATGAAAACTAGCGTTCCTGTCCAGATGCTTATGATCTAGACTGTGTGATTGTTTGACAGAAACGCACCCCAAAGCCTAATTTCCAGGTAGCTGATGCGTTCTGTCTCTTTGTTGTCGACACAACATTTGCACATGAATGTGATTTTTCGCTGCTCTCCTCTTTCTCTCTGTTTCCCGGAGTGGAACTAGCATCTGTCCATCTCTTGCCTCGTGGATCTGAGCAGGATTTTAATTCACCTTGCTAAAATGACATCATTTGCAGTCACACACACACACGGCGGTTGTGTTTTCATCGCTGCAGAAGACATTACATCGACTCACCCAAGGCGTAACAATACCTGCCTTCACCATGTTGAATTTATCAATTAACTTTATGAGAGCTTGCTTATTGTCCCCCAAAACCAAACATGCATAATACAAGTACACACACACAGAGACACAGTTAAACCTGGGGACAGATTGTGCGCTCGCTGAGACAGAGAGAATTAAGTTCACTTTGAGGTTGAATGGTTAATATGGGTCAGGGGTGATAATCTGATTAAAATGCAGCAACAGAGTGCGCGGATTGACTGCAGACAGTGATGCGGCGGGGGGGGCTGGGGCCTCCAGAGGACTTCTTATCAGGTCGGCTGTCTGACAGTGTCGGCTCACTCCCTTCTTCATCATACGAGACAAAGGCCAAACACTTGTCTGTCGATGCTGAATGACGCATTGCTGATATCGGCTGGCAGCGTGAAACTTATCTCTCTTCACGCACGCCGGTCCTGTTTGTCACGGTATCATACTGCACGTGTAAACAACCACAGACAGGTCCCGTGTTCAGTTTTGTATTCCTCTTATGACAATTTATGGAGGTAAACAGTTGTAACTTCGCCACAAAGGCTCTTCTACATCTCTGCCACTACGGCTACAAGGAGTGGCTGCTGTCAACAGTCAGTTGCTGCTGACAGGCGGGCTGTCGAGGAAACGAGCTGTCCAGCAAGTTGTCATGTCAACACCTTGGCTGCACTCTACCCCTCTTTGCTCAAAACTGAACAAT